CAGGTGAACCTTTCCTTATCTCTCCTCTTTCCACCTCACTCTCTGACAGCTCCTATCCGCACTGCATTGTCCCCTATGGGAAGAGAGCATTCTCCACAGCAGCCCCTGTCCTACTCCTTTACCAAGGCTGTCCCCTCCACACAAGTCTCCTCCCTCCCACCCAACCCACCAGGCTGTCTCCCACATCCTCCATCTCTGCTGTCACTTCTCGGATTGACTCTACACAAAAGACTTGCAGCTGCAGGTCTGGAGCAACCAACCACGGGCAATCTGATGGGCTAAGGGCACAGAAAATGTTCAAGCTTAGCAGGAAAGCAGCGGGGAAAAGCCCTTAATCCAAACCCTGCGGAGGCAGGAGACTGCTCCAGTTCAGCCAAAGATCTGGGACTGCCAGGATACCCACTGCTGCTTGGCCAGCAAACCCAGAGGGGTTTGCAGCAGAGTGGCTCAGCCCCACCAGACCTCTCTAGGGCAGCTCAGGCTGCTACGGGTTGAACTGAAATCTGCTGCCCCTGACAACACTGAGCAGCAAAGCCTGACAGATCGATGTGGTGAGTGGCACGGAGCTTGGAAGCCAGGCTAGGTGGGTGCTGGGATTTCTGCCACTGCCCAAGGCCCAAGAAGTCAGTGCTCATCATGGCAGCGTGACCAACTGACAGCATCCCAGGGCACAATGATCAGCCACATTTAGGAGCACAGTACCATATTCCTGAGGCCCCTGGGCAGGAATTAGGGCATAAGCAAAGCCAGGGAAGGAAAGACCTGGGTTAGGCTGACCTAATCCTTGGGCTGGGCTGGCAGTTCAGCTCGGGGGTGCTGCTGGACGTTCAGATGGCAGGCACAGGGAGAAGCTGCACAACTCCTGCTTTGTAGGACCTGCTGCAAAAGTTGTCTGGGGACCGGGTATGCTCAAAGAGTGCCACAGCAAACGCCTGCCAGGCACCAGCCACACCACCTACAGCCACGAGAGCTAAATTAGCACTCAAGCACTTGGGCACTTGTACTCACAATGCCTGCAGTGAGCTGCGTGCCGTGCTCCTCATAAACAAGTCATCTGGAAAATAAGTAAGCCTGTAAAAATCCAGTCCATCACAAGTTACCAAACCTGTTTCAGAGTAAAACAACCTAGAGCAGCTCATGCCAGAAGGCTGGCAGTGAAGCTGCTATCAAGCTTCCCCATGAGTGGGACTGCCTTGGTCCCAGCAAAACATCCCTGGCACCGATGACAGCATAGGGATGCCACATGGGACTTTGTGGTGGCCAAAGCTGGCAAAGAATCAGAATTTCTGGTACAGATTTGACATCCATCTCTTCCTGTGCTCCTACCAAGCACTCACTTTTTCTTGTTCTCGTAATTTAGAAAGCACATGAGTTGGCTTTATGTGGGGTGCTGCCAAAAAAGAAAGCCCAAACCCACTGAGTTGCAGATGGAGTCAGCAGCCCGGTCCCTGTCCCCCTGGATTTGCTAAACATGCACTGCTCTGTGGACAGTGCTGGATGCTGCTCCTACACACCTGCAGGAGGATTCCCAATGCTTTCCTCCAGGTCTCAGCACCACAATGCATTTTCTCCCGCTTAATGTTCAAAGCCACCAGAGATCTTCAGAATGTGAAGGGATTTCTAGGAAGCTCAGACAGGGAGAAATTTATCTCCTTCCCCCAAAACAAAACAGAAGCAGAGTCTCTCTACCCAAGCCCTTTTCCACTGGTGGCACCTCTAGCTGACGAGAGGCAGCTGGGAAACCTCTGAGCGAGCTCAGACGTACCTGGCCTCAATCAACTGTGTCCCACACAAAGACAGGGCAACCATGGTAATACCCCACAAGTGAGTCTCTTTCCCTGACTGCTGACTTCTTACCCATACTCCATTCCCAGCAATGTATTTTCCCCCTTTTTGAATGGGGAAAAAAGAAAAAGCAACACATCAACCTCGCACTGGAGCAACTTTCTTTTTCAGCCTTAGAAGCAGGTTCCCCTGTGCACGCAGGAGGCACGTGGCTGGGGCAGCAAAGGCAAAGATGGAAGAAAAACTGTTTCATTTTGAGACCTTGACACAAACAAAATGAGAAGAAGCAAAAAAAAAAAAAAAAAAAAAAAAAAAAAGAAAAAAGGAAAAAAAGAGAAAAGAGGGTGCCTTGTTGGCTTTTCTTCCCCCCCCTCCTCTTTAAGCGCTACAAAAACAGGAAACAAAGGAGAAAACATCTCACGGGGGGAAGGGGAGGTAAGCGCTTTATACGCCCACGAAAGAAAGATTAACCACATATTTTATTTACTGTTTGTATTACAGTTGCACCGTAGAGTTCAACTAATTCCGAGCCAGGGCTCTGTGGGTTTGTGCAGCACCTAACGCTGAGCAGGGTCCTTCCTCCAAACCCACCAGGCGCATGTTCTGCTTCAGGCAAACCCTGCACAGACACCCCCCTTCCTCTGGCAGACACCCACCTCCAGCCCCCTTCACCCAGCCAGAGCACTTCTGCCCCAACTGCCAGCCCAGCTGACAAAGTGCTGGTGCTGTCCCCAAGGAGTTTTGAGCCCCTTTTCCCCTTCAAACCGGTCTGTAACCAGGGGTAAGGTGCCCTTTGAAGCAGGTTGGCCACACAGCCAGAGGAATAAATGCTAAAAAAGCAGAGTTTATGGGGAGCATGTTTGCAGGCTCCAGTCCCTCCTCTGGACCATGTGGGACATCCCCTCCACAGCGAGTTGATGTTGCAACCCCCACACTTGCGAGTCCCCCGCACCAAGGTCAGGGCTCCGATCCTCCCAACTTTGACTCATTTCTCAATTAACGGCTTTCTGAACACAAGCCACACACGGAACAAACCTCTCACAATGGGGCCTCCCCCGGACCTCCCAAGCCCAGCGTTACTCATCTGCCCCCCAGTCCCAGTCCATCTTTTCTCGGGATGCTCCAAGTGCGGCTCACCGCCGCTGCAGGGTGAGCAAGCAGCCAGGAATCCCGGGCCTGGCTCCCGCAGGCGGGAAGCCGTCACCAGCTGAGCTCATGCACCCTAATTCGGGAGCCAACGAGGCGAGGCCACCTTCCTTGCTGGCTGGCAACTGGCAGCTTTCAGCTGGAGACCTAGCCACGGCCGTGGAGCAAGGGCTGGCAACCTGCTGGGTGCTGTTCTCAGGGGCTCATCCCTACTCCAGCCACTTTATGGAAGAACTGATTCAACTATAGAGAGGATCCTTTGGGCACACCGTCCCCCAGCTTGGTGCTGTCCTTCATTGACCCAGACTCTGTGCACCCAACGGAGCCACGCGCCCAGCGGGAAGAGACAAGCTTATCATCACAGAGAAAGGAAATTAAGATAACGTGGTGATGGAGGTACCGAGGGATTTGGCCAAGGTCACAAAATAATTCCATGGCTCTACGACACAACCGTCTAACACTTTTGGTGTCTGGCCACATATCCTAAAATTTCAAGCCAGGGCCAAAATCCAGCCTAGGCAGTGGCAGATTTCTGCCAGGTCATTAGCAGTGTGCATCCGCAAGAAGCGGCGAACATCCAGCCATAACAACGGCAGCAACAACAAAAAAAAACAGGCAGCAAGAGCGGGAATAAATGAGATCAAAGTGTCCTGGAAAAGGACCTGGAAAAATAGTTTCGGTCCCTGGCTAAGGCTCCTGGGAGATGCACATGAGAACCCCATCCCAGCCCTGCACAGCCCTCCCGAGGTGGCTCCCCACCCTGGCAGAGGGAAACCAAAATGACTCCCTATAAATAGAAGCAGAAAAGCACTTCTCCAGAAGACTGACTGGGTCTTTCCCCTTCCAGCGTGTGTGGCGGAGCTGCTGGCACCTCCGCGGAGGTCGCTGGTTTTCCCCCAAAAAACCTGGAGAGGAAAATAACCTTCTTGTGAGCTCAGGCTGGCTCCTCTCTACACAGAGCTGCACCCCCCCGCCCCACTCCCAGGCCTGGCCATCCAATTGGAAAGTAATTATACTGCAATTTTTATTTATGACTTCTTCGGTTTTTTTTATTGCTAAATGGTGACTCATTTTGGCAACATTAAAATACACAGGAAATCATCCCCATTTTACAGTAATCACCATTCAATTCATTGTTAAATATTTATTCGGCAGACAAGCGCCGAGCCTCTTTCGAAGGGTCGGAGGGGGAGCGGAGGGGCAACCCTGAAAAGGGGGAAGGTGGTAGAAGGGTCATGGCAGGGCTGGCCGCAGGGCTGGTAAATGCCCGCCAGAACTGGAGGGTGGGGAGCCAGGGGTGAAAGCTCCTGCCAGATGGCCTGGCCAAGAGCAAAACACAGACCCGCTTTCCCTCGAATCCAGGACAAGAGCCCAAACTGCTCTAGGGAGAGAGGCAGCCCTGTGCCCCCAATAAAAAACCACATTATTTGGCCAAACCCCAAGACCGAATCCCCACCAGTGAGACGTCATGGGTCTCTGACACGTCACGGGTCTCTGACACGAAGCTCTTCCATTGCCAGGGGGAAGAGGATGGCGGCCACCGGCCCCAGTGGGAGGCAGAGGGAAGAGCAGGCAGTTTGACATTCACAGGCCTTTCAATGGACAGGGTCTGCTCCTGCAGCCGCTTTGTCCTCCCAGGAACCCCAGTTTTAGGATGACTCGACCTCGGCTGCAGGCAGCTGTTCTGCCTTCCCCCAAACAGCTGCATAGCCCGGCACAAACCTGGCAGACGGCCCCTCCAAATGCCCCTGGCCCAAGACTGCAACCCTTCCCTACAGAGTGCACACCCAAGGGGCCGTAGGTCCCACAGCTCAACAGCTACAAAGGCCCCCCATCACAGACACCTTCCCTGGGGAGTCCCCCTGGCACCCACGGGCTCCGTCACTGCTTGGCTGGGAGGCCACCCAACATGTCTGCCACAGGGGACCCCAGGCAGAAGGAGGAGCACTGCCAGGATGGATTTTGTGTAGGTCCTACACAAACACAGGGGAACAGACACGGCAGGGAAGAGGGCAGCTGGGTGGTCCCCAGGCTGGGCAAACCCGAGTGATCAGGATGGTTGGACTCACCCGGATCTCATTGCGGCGGATCTCCACGTCGCACACCGAGTGTCCCTGGTGGGCCCCGCTGTAGTAGCAGCAGAACTGGCAGACAGCCACCTGCTCGGCCTCGCAGTGGTACAGGCGGTAGGCGTTGTGCTGGGGGCAGCTCCAGGCCCTCACGTCCTCCGCCTCCACCAGGAGATGCCCCCGGGCCGTGGAGGGCTGCTGCAGGTGGGTCTGGACGTGGGACTGGCAGCACGGAGCCTCGCACCTCAAACAGATCTTCTGGGCCGGCAGCGGCGGGCCCCGGCGGCAGAAGACGCAGTGCAGGACTGAGGGGGGCTTCTCCAGGTTGAGGGAGTTGAACTTCTCCACGATGTTGGTGAGCTTCAGGTTCTTCTCCAGGTTGGGCTTCTGGTTGTAGGCCTGGTTGCACTCCGGGCACCGCACCAAGCCCGACTCCTTGGCCCACGCCTCCCCGATGCAGCCCCGGCAGAAGTTGTGCTTGCAGGGCAGCTGGACCGGCTCCACAAAGACATGCAGGCAAATGGGGCAGATGAGCTCCTCTTCGAAGCAGTTCTTCCAATTCTCGGCCATCTCTGCCGGCAGCTCTGTCGACGCTTCCCCCCAGCCGCTTCGGTCGCTCAGTGCGGTCTAGGGGCGGACGCCGGGGTCTGTCCTCCCTGAAAGGGGAAGGCTGAGGGTGAACGGACAGGCTCCCCCCTCCCCGCAGCACACGCCATAAATAATAAACCGCAGCAGATTTTAAAATCGGGGATAAAATAAGCCACAGAGCAGCACTCTAGGAATATCCGGCAAGAAAATGCAACGTCCCCATCGCTTCGTTAAAAAAACAACACAAATGGTCAAAAAACCCCAACCTGATTCTGTTGGACTCACAGCCCAAAGTCCCCCGCTAAAAGCCATTTGCTCCTTTTTACCCCAGAAGGTGAACTGAAACTTACCAAAGGTTGAAAAAAATCCATACAAAATCCAGCAGCAGAGTCCAAGTTCCATATAAAGCTCCTAAATTTAGCACTCCGGATCAGATTTTTCTTTTCTTAGGTTTGCAACTGACATTCAATATTTTAAAGGGACTTTTGTCCCCCACCAAACCTGGCCAACAGCTGAGGGCAGCGACTCGCTCGAGCTTTTTTTTCCCCTTCCCTGTATTTCTCCTCCCTCTCCCCCTGATGGGAGTTGGGAATCAGAGTCTTTTAAAGGAAACAGATCAAAGGGTTAAGATCCAAAACGGGAAAAGGAGGAAGATTAAAAAAATAATAATAATAGCGACGATGACGATGGCGGAAAAACGAATTCTCTCTGCGGCCCCCGAGATTTGCTTCTAAATCGGAGGAGCAGCAAAAAAAGCTCTCTCGCCTGCTTCGAGATTACGAGGTCTTGAATGGGAGAGCTCGGTCATTCAGAGCAAACGCCAGCCCAGCACAGCCCGCCCAGCTCCTCCAACGCTCCCGGAGAGGGATGGGAGAGGGGACGGGCTTTGCCACGGGGGGTTCTGAGCCCCGCGGACCCCAAATCAACCTGCTCTCACTTCCCACCAGGGCTGGGGGGAAAAATGCGCCCGCAGGGTCCGTCCTAGCCCGCTCTCATGGCCGGCCCGGGGGTCGCAAGCCCCCGACGGTAACAATGCTTCGGACGGCGCCCGAGCCGGCGGCGGAGCGCTGCCTTCCCCGGCGCGGCCCCGCCGGGAAGGGGCGAGGCGGCGGCGGGCAGCCGGGAGGAGCCGGCCGGAGCGAGCGGTTCCGGGAGAGCCGAGTCAGCTCTCAGCCATCTTGAGCTGCCCGGCTGAGAACGGAGACCGGGAGCGCGTTAAAAATAAAATCAAATTTAAAAAATTAATTAAAAAAATAAAAAGAAAAAAGGGTATTTAAAAAAAGAAATTATAAATAAAGTCACCAGAACAACCCCGCTCCCGGGAGCCACTTCCTCCGCCTGCCCAGCGAGGCTCTGCGGAGGGGCTGCGGGGCCAGGCGAGCCCGAGCCGAGCCGAGCCGTCCCGTCCCGGCGGGGCCGCTCAGCACAGCCCCCCGCGCCCGCCCCCGCCGCCTCCTCCAGCCATCTTGGGGTCGCCCTGGGCGCCGGAGCCCCACGCCCCGGCTTCCTCCCGCCGCCCCCGGGGAGGCGGCCGCGGCCGGGGAGGGGGGGGAACGCGGAGCTAAGCGGGCGGGGGCGCGGAGCCCCGCAGCGGGAAGGGGAAGGGGGGGCGGCGCCTC